TATCATGGCCCGAAGAGAAAGCCGGAAAGTCATGGTAGTTCAGAAAGTTCTCTGAAAACTCATTTGGCATTTATATTGACGTAGATACCTACTTTTTCATGCATTTAGCTGTGATATTAGCAGCCTTATAACTAAAAAACTAAACGGTACCTTTTTCTAAAAATAGCATGGTATAGGGTACAGGTTGTGTACCACAAACTGGCAGAAAAACTGGAGAGGGGTCCTTTCAAATTTGTTAACTTTTTATTCTGGGAAGTTGTGAGAATAAACACTAATTTCATAGTGAGTAGAATCCTTCTTTTCGATAAAACGATAAAATTTGTTCTTTTCTCCATTTCTTGCTCTATATCTGTCTCTATAGTGTGCATAGAAAGAGAAAACATCAAAGCAAAGAAGAATGAAACATAAAAGAGAACGGGAGAAAAGCGGCATTGTTGATGTCTACTGTTGAATATAGTGTAATATACCGTTAAAATCCACAGTGGAGAATCCGAGTCCGAAAAGTGTCGGGACCCGGACGAGATCTTTGCGCCGTACAACGTAACTCGTCTCGCTGATTCCGAATTTGTAAAAATCTCGAGGGACGCTTCTCTAGAAAGAAACCATCATATTTTGATATGCGGATCGATTATGACAACTCTAGTTTAAAAATTATCCTTGCTGTTTGTTTGGGACGGTACTAGCAAGTGATAAGGCTAAATATAATATATTTATTACCTATAATTAATTAGCACAATTAATGTGTTCTTTGATGTGTTATATATAAGAGTTAATGAAAAGTAATCTATAGAAAAAAGGAATAAAATGGAGAAGAAAAGATAGATTTTATGTATTTTCTCTCTTATACAAACATCACAGGGGACCGCTTTACATTCTACGATTGCTCCGATTGCTCCGATTGCTCCGATCGCTCTGTTTGCTCCATTTGCTCCGAACATAATTTTAACGGCTTCCCTTAGGATATTGAGCGAGTTTTCTTGTCTCACTTAACTAAAGAATCCGGACTTACGACTAGGAAAAGTCGAGAGAAAAATTAAGTAATGACAATCCAACGAATGTCTTTTCTGAGAGAGTTACCAGAACAATAGAGGGCAGCTCAAACCGGACTTTAAATCATGACTATAATACCGTAGCTGTCCTGGGGTCCACGTGGATCCATACTCTAAAATTCTGCCCTTAACACATATTGATAAAATTTCGAAAGGTTCTTGCGCATGAACACTATACCAATGATTACGGAAGAAAGCGGCTTGAAAGGTTTAATAGTGACGTAGCGAGAAACAAAACATTGCAAAGTGGGTCCACGTGGGCCCCACGATAGCTACGAAGGGTTAATAAATCAGTCGTTTGCAGAAAACAATCACTTTCAGATTTATCCAAATCAACCGGCTTAAGATCTGATTTAGCTAACAGCAGTTTACAGCATTCTTTCTGTGACGGAATGATTACTTTCTCACATGAATATGTTATAAATGAATATGTTTTTGAGACTTTGTTTAGCTGTCCACAATGGACGAAATCTTATTTATGCAACACAATTGTAATCAGAAAAAGCTATCTATCCAACCACAACCATGTATTTAATAGTTAAAAATTATTGCAGCAAGGTGTGGGAATAAATTTTCGTCGTTGTATTTTTCATTTATAAGATCGTTCACAAATGGCATTATCACTCGCCAGATATTATAAATTGAGATATCATCTAACACCCGCTGATTTTTAGCTAATTATGACAAAAGTGCTTGAAATATGAGTCCGCAAAATATGACATCCAAAGATTTTTGGAAACAAATCTTGCTCGGCACTCCTGGCAACATCAAACCATGTACCTGTATGTTTTCCTTGGCTATCATTGATAGTGGCGAGATATTGCGAGAGCTTAGCTCAATTCTGAAATCGATTTTCTACTCTTCGTTATGTGCCAAGACTAAAAGATACAATAAGAATTTGTTCTATCTTTTTTCAAATTTATTCTTTTCTATTCATAGATAAATAAAGATAAATACCTTTTTAACACGTAGACAAAAAGTTTTATTGAAGAAATCAGAGCGAAAGAGAGGAATTCTGCAATAAGAAAATGATGTAAAGTTTTCTACCATGGATACAGATATGCATTTTTCACCTGGCAAGATACACCAATTAATTGAATCATTTTATATAGTGAATTTAACTGCATTGATACAGCTAAAAGAAAAGGAATTGAAGACTTTAGTGGGTAAGGTTATGTTTGTCAAGATTTTGTCTCATATGTGCTCGATTGCTGAGAAAGAAACTGAAAAAAGATTAAAAGATTAAAAGAAAGATTAAAAATACACACGATAAAAAGTTACGGAGTGTAAATATCCCTATTGATGACATGGCATTGACCAGTAAACTTGTATACAATTACTCTTATCGTTCACTTACTAAAGCGGAAGAAAGTCTGCTGTCACATGGGTGGAAATATGCTATGAATATCAAAGAGTTGAATTCATTGAACGTTAAGACGGATATTGAGTATATTTATTACCGTATGGAGAAGTGTTCACTTATTGATGCTACAAATAGAGCAAAAATTAAAGGTACATTGAATGATTTTGGAACTACGATCAAGCAAAGATTAAAAAGATCTCACGTGCCTAATCTATCTATTATTGAAATTGAAGCTATAAAAACATTGACAAACGATAAATGTTTAATTATAGCAAAAGTAGATAAAGGTAACTCAATAGTGGTCTTGAATCGTGAAGATTATATACAGAAAGGAATGGTTATTCTTGATGACAGACGGTCCTTTAAATTGCTGAACGAAAATCCAACTGATGAGCGAGAGAAGAAGTTTATAAAATTCTTATTAAAATTAAAAAAGAAAAATGCTATTGATAAGAATGAGTATAAACGCATGAGGCCTGATGCGGGATCTCGCACACCTGAAGCTTATTTTCTCGTCAAAGTACATAAGAAAAACCAGCCTGTTCGGCCTGTTATCTCAAGTTATGATGCTTATAATTATAAAACGGCGAAATACATTGCTGATTTATGGAGACACCAGCAATGAAAGAAGGGCACTCGTTTATTAATGATTCTTTTGATTTCGTTGATAAAATTCATGCTAATAAGGATAAGTCAGGTCTTATGTTCTCACTTGATGTTTCGTCTCTATTTACAAATGTTCCATTAGAAACGTCAATTGATATTGCCATTAAAAATATAAGACAGTATCATTCAACTTGGAAAATAAATGATAACGATTTGCGCGAGTTATTTTATTATTATACAGAAAGAACTAATTTCACGTTTGATGGGAAAAATTATGATCAAACCAACGGAGTTTCTATCGGTAGCCCGTTGGCACCTATAATGGCTAATCTTTTTATGAATGAACTTGAAAATGAAATTGAGAAATACCGGAGTAATAAACCTGATATTTATTTAAGATATGTTGACGATATATTTGCCATTATTCACGGTACTCAAAAAGATATATTTAATTTTGTAAAATGGATGAACAAATTGAATCCTTCTATTAAATTCACAGTAGAGGTTCAGTCTGATAATAAACTGTCGTTCTTGGATGTTATGGTGGAAAGAAAAACTAATGAGCTGATTACTTATGTCTATCGTAAGCCTACGCATACTGGGCTATATTTGAAATGGACGAGGAGTTACAAAATCAATCTGATTAAATGTCTTTGTACTCGTGCAAAAAGAATTTGCTCGTCTAATGAACTATTTGAAAAAGAATTAGAATATTATACCCATACCTTCCATTCTAATGGTTATGCATTGAACATTGTAAGAAAGACGGTTAGAGACATCAGGCTTCATAAGAACGTGAAAAAACCCCTTCCTGTTACAAATAGAAAACTGTTTTACTTCTCGATGCCTTATTATGGAAAGTGTTCGTTAGTTTTAGCTAACCAGTTGAGAAAAACATGATTTCACATCCAATGAAAGTTGTATTCACATCCAATGAAAGTTGTAACCTTTGGTTTCAAGGCAGGATATACTTTGTCATCTGTATTTGGGAAAACATTTCGCAATACGATAAATGAGAAAAGAGTAGTGTACAAATATGACTGTTCTGACTGCACAAACAGTTATATTAGACAAACAGCAAGAGGTGAAAAGCGAAAACAAGAACATAAAGATGCTTTTCAAGGTACTGGATACTCAAGGATTGCCAATCATAGTTTAGTTACTGGCCATAGAACAAACTAGAACAGTGAAATTCTTGCGTTTGAATCTCATGCAACAAAAAGAGAGATAAAAGAAAGTTTACTAATGGATTCACACAGGAGAAAGAAAATTAGGAATATTTATTCTCAAAAAACGTTTATTCTCAAT